AGTACTAAATGAAGAATTTTAATGCAGATATATCTTGCTCATTTTCAGCTCAGAATGGTAAAGGGAAAGAGGTAAATCTACTAAAGAGTGATAGATCATACAAAAGAGCAAGAAGAAACAAATGGAGTACCCCTGGCTGCAAGAACTTTAAGATATTCACTTTTCTATATAGAAAAGACATTCAAAAAGCTTTCTTTTACAGCACCCTCAACTTAAAGAGACTAAGGAGCTTCAATAGGAGACAGTTTTTGCACTTCATGAAGATGAAGAGAGAAGAACCATCAAGAGAAGTAGGAAGTGTTGGCAAGGCAGATTCAGGTGGCCATGTTGGAAACAAGGTTTTGCCAATAACCGAGGCACCATTGTCATCCTCTGCTGAAAGAAATGACCAATGTGATGCCACAGAAACTAAAGATGAATCCAAGGATAAGAAAAAGCCAATGTCCAGAATGAAAGAGCTTCTTAGATGGGCTGCTTCTGCAAAGACAGAGAAAGGAGGGAAATTCAATGGAAGAAAGGTAAATTATTTTTCAATATCTTCAATGACCCTTTGTTATTTTCAACCCTGTGCTTATGATACATGGCACAGAAGATCATGTTTGGTGAGATAATTCATTTATAATATTATGTGTCACTATATTGTAACCAAATAAAATACCCATAATAATCAAACCTACCATATGTTGAGAAATCTGTATGACTTTTGCAGATACTTTAGAGTATGGTTGATTTTCTTTTCACCTTTTTTATTTTAAAAACTATTTTCTAAAATAACTTTACACTTATAAATAATCAATTTCTCATTCAAAATTTATTAATAATGTGTTTAGTTTGGTACTAAAAAACTATAGTGGGTATAAAATTAGAGTGAGTCACCACAAAAAGTAACTATTTATTGCTTCCAAAAATCATGATTAGTTTAAATCATTAGCAATTCAAACACACTATGTTTTGAAATTTATTTTCATGTTTTAAAAACTAAATAACAAACAACTAGAAAATATTTTCTCATCTTCTGTTTTTATCTTATTAAACCTCTAGCTCAATTTCTGTTTTGGGCCTTGTACCACCATCAACTAACAACATTATTAAGTTGCATTTTGAAAACCAAAAACAGTTTTTGAGAATAGTAATCAAACACACCTTTAATCTTTATTAATTTCTTAATTTCTTTTCAGGTTTTAATGTTCAGAAGGCGTGGAACCCTGAAAGCAGTTCCAGATGATGATCAAGGTTGCACTGAGTCACCCAAGATCAGTTTCAGATGGGATGTAGAAAGTTGCTCCACCACTTCCTCTGCCTACTCAGCAATCTCACTAGCTTCCTCATCAAAAAATGGACAAAACCAAATTGCAACTTCCTCTATATGCATCCCTCCTGAACACACTGGCCATAACAACACATGTAGAAAAGGAAACTGGATCACCACAGACTCTGAATGTATGCCATGTATCTTTTATATTTTATTTGATTTAAATATATTTTTAATCTTTTAAATTTAAAGTAAATTTATTTTTAATTTTTTAAATTTAAAATTGTTCTTTTTAATTTGGTAATTTTTAAAAATTTTATTTTAATTTTTATATTCTTAAGATATTATTAAATACTGTCACATAAAATTTATCTATTAATGTTTCTCTTAATGAAAACATCATATTAAGCCTGATTGATGTACATAATTATTTTAATCTATCACTTTTAAATATATTATTAGTGATAAGATAGAATAAAATATAAATTTTGAAAATTATATAATTAAAAAAATATTTTTAACATCAAACAAATAAAAATAAATTTACCTAAATTTAAAGGATTAAAAACATATTTAATTAATTGATTTTCACCCAAAGATCTCATAAACTGCGCCCAAACACTTTGACTAATATTCTCTTCACCATCTTTTTTGTTTGATGAGTAGTTGTGGTGCTGGAGCTATGAAGATTGAGGCTAAAATGGATATTCCATCATGTGTGGTGAAGTGTTGGCTAGCAATCTACATCACAAGTTATTGCTCTAAATGTGTCATGTTCATGGATCATTTTTCTGTCAGATATTTCTAGAGATTTTATATGACTTAACTAAAGATAGAGAGATCAAGAAGCAAGGGAAAGGGATGTAATATCAGTAATTAATGATCTGAATGTGCTAGATGGGGATCAAAAAGATCATATGCCATGTGCATGGCATGAGAATGTTCTGCATCTACATTATTAGGGGTATAAATTAGTTACCTGTTGACTGACCTAATTAATGTAGATGGTTTTCCCAATTAGTGGATGGGACCAATTATTACTGTAAATCTATAATAATCAGCATTGATGATTATCTGAAATGAGAGTTCAATGTCATATTATGCTGTTAGTACGGAAGTCATGTGTAACTAACATTAATAGGAGTATTTTTGTTTCTTATGTATTGATATAATAACAAACATTAATATTATGGAATGCATGAGCTTAAAAGTTGGTTGATAGTTTAGACGTTTGGGATTGGAACTTAACTAGTTCAAATAATTAGGCAAGGTCATTAGGTTAAAAGAGTGTGTTTAGCTAAAAAGATGTTAATTATCTGTGATGCTTGAAATATCAATTCTAACTTTTGACTGCACCAACAATTTCTTCTAACCAATAGCAGAGACTAAACCATTTTCTTGGATAAAGATCATTGAAGTGAGTTTGTTCTCCTTCAACAAAATTTTTTCTATATGCATAATTGAACACTATAAGTGAACGAAAGAAACTCAAGTTACTCAATCATCTACCAATTGTTTTAAAAAAATGTATACGTCATAAATTATATTTGTTTTGTCACATCACACTTAGTCTCTCAATTTGTGTCTACAATTTTAGTATAACAATTAAATATTCTTTTAGTCATTAAAATTATAATATTAATGATAACATTAATATTAAATAATAAATCACAACTAATATTTAATAATATTTAAGTTTAATTATATTTTTCCTTATAATCATAATCAATTTGTAATTAATATTTAAGTTATGAGAAGAATAAAAATATAATTTAACTTAAATATTATTAAATATTAATTATTACATGATTTATTTGATGTAAGATCTTGTTCGATGTTATGATTTGAATGGTTAGTGTAAATATAAATAGATAATATTTTATAAAATTAAAAGACTAAAATTTTAATAATTAAATATTATAAAAAAATTAAAATTATATAAGTATATATATATATTATATTCACTTATAGTTATAAGAATTAATTTTAGAAGATGCGATATTTAAAGTTTTACTATTTTCCAAATTAGTGTTCGGTCATATGTAGGCTAAAACCCTATTTTAGTCCCTTATAATTTTCTCTGAATTCTGCCAACTCCTCCATCTGCATGTACTTATCAGCCCTCCTACGTAAGTCGTTCATGTCCGAAGGAGGCTTTTTACAGATGCTGTTGACGAATGGGCCTGGTTTCAAAGCTGTTGTAAGATGATGTAGCGCCACAGCTGGGTTGAGATCTCTGATTTCCAAAGTAGCCTTGTTGAACCGATCCATAAACGCCCGAAGAGACTCCTTTTTGTCCTGTCTAAGACTAACCAGAGATAAAGACGTTAGACTATGAGGGCGACTCGTCGCAAATTGAATAGTGAACTGTGATGACAATGTGTTGAAGGAATCTATGGAGTTGGGTGGGAGACGAGTGAACCAGCTGAGAGCTCTGCCTTTGAGAGACGTAGGAAAGATCCGACACAACGCAGCGTCATCCGTCGTGCTCAGAGTTACCTGTGTCAGAAAAACATCTAAATGTTCATCAGGATCAGTGGTACCATCATATTTGTCAATAGGTAAAGCCTTCCAATTATCCATTAAAGGGAGTTGCATAATGGAGGGAGTGAACGGATGTCGGTGAGATCCGACAGTGGTTATATCTGCAGGACGACCCACGGTAGGTAAGGCCGAAGGGAACCTTTCAGGGGCTACTGCTGAAGCATGAGGAACCGATGTATGGACCGCGTGAGATTGATACGACCCTTGAGTTTGTGTGTTGGTGATATGAGTAGGCTTCCAAGAAGTATCCTGACTCTTCAACGCTTCATTCTCAGCCCTCAAGGCCGAAAGCTCCCTCGCATCTTTTTCTCTCTGTTGTTTCATCAGCTCCATTTCTTGCTTGAGTAGTCGCACTGTTTCAGATTTTAATTGCATAATTTTAGTCCTTAAAGAATTGCAATTGCGCCATTTTGGTCCTTCAATTTTTAATTGAACAATTTTAGTCCCTCAAATATCATAATAGTATGATTTTTGTTTCTCCCATTAAAAATTAATAATTTTAATATATATATGTACCTGTATAAGGATACACCGATAGTCTTCTTGAGTTCTGAAGGCCGAAAGAACGCTCCAATCCGATATGTGTGAAAGGGTTTGTACCTGCAAAAGGCACTCCAACGCTCAAGTCAGCACGGGCACAGAAATCTAGGGTAATTAATGAACAGTGACGTTACCTTTTGACCTGAGCTATTTATACTGACATTCGTGGGCCCTGGACCTTATGGGCCCTGTAAAGCCTTACCGTGTTAGGTAATACTTCTTAATCAGTTAATTA